TGGAAGGGTAGCTTTCGCAACATAACGTGCGAGACATTCATTAAAGTGCGTGGCACCATATTCGTTTGCGACCTTGTCCAATGTGACCGCCTTGATGGTAGGATGCTTTGTCATCGTTTGAGTACGACGAAATGTCATTTCTGGGGGACGGGGCTGATGATGCGACGTGTGGTGTTTTCGACGAGTCTCCACTGAATGTATTTCTCGTGACGTGAAATTTTCTCCCTCCGTTCAAGCCAAGTCGTCATTTGACCAAACTCATTCTTGTGGTTCGTAGAGCGATAAGCATCTTTCGCAAGGTCGATGTGAAGGCGTTCGGGTGTATTCGGTATTGTAGTTGTCCGTAGTGCCATACATTCGAATCATGTGAGCGTAGTGAGCTGTGAAGTGGAGTTTTGGCAAGTTGAAGGAATTCCGAATGCCAAGGTCAATAAAGATGTCCTTGTTGTCGTGGAAAAGGTTAAGTGCCTCGTCAAGTAAAACCAGCGTCTCAGAGCTGTGACCTGGGTACTGAGCAAAATATAAAAAGTCTAGCAGACCACGAACGGCACGGAGGAGTCGAGCGGAAGACATATTATTAGGTAGACTGATGTCGATGATGATGCCGAGCAAGAAACGGCAATTTGATTATGTTCTGTACCGCTACACGTGAAAGAGTTGTGATGCCCTTCGTAAATAGTCGAATATGGTGATTTGGGGGGAGGCGTCGACATCGTGCATCAATCTCCGTACTGCCACATGCATCAGAAGCCAAGCGAGGAGATGCTTGACGAGCCCTTGGTATAGTTGATGCAGAATATCAGGAGTTATGGATTCGATATATTGACAAAGGGTAGTCCCTCCCAGAATGGGTGGACAATAGGCTTAATGCCAGCATCTGCGCATGCACGCACAAAGGCCAATCCACCTTGGTCAAGAGCGCAGAGGGCATCAAGTACTGCACCAAGGTCTCGTGGTTGCCAATTTGCGACACCAGTTGCTAGACCAAGCTCGTCGGAGGGAACATCGCAATTTGGACATTGAGTTGTCTTGACTCCGGTAGCTAAAACTTGCTCTGGGTAGTCTCCTGCAAAACATGCAAACAAAGGATGGCCTCGACGCATTATTCCATCACCACTTCGCATATTAATGCCATTGATGCCGGCAGCTGTGAGTGGTGCAAGTACACGTCCCACACAAGCATGATATAAATTGGCAAGCATCCGTCGGCGAGCAGCTTTGTTGGTAACGTGTTCAAGGCGAGTAGTTGGAAGGTATGCGAGGAGGACATGTGCCTGGCGTGACGGTTTCCGACGAATATCCTTTGGGATGTTTCCAATAGTCATGTAGACGGGGTATGCTGTCTTGTTGCGAAACATCGTAACTTGAGTCTTGTCTGATGAAATGATGATGGGAATTATTGTAGCACCAGGGCGCTCGTGATCTAAGTGTTTCTAGGAAGAATACAATATTAATATTAGTACGTTGAAGCTCACAAAAGGTAGAAAACCACCGACCTGACTATTCCACCACCATTTTCCAGTATGCATCTCATGATATAAACGAATCGTCTCATCTTCGTCGGCATAATGGCGTTCAGGCGCAAAGACCAGAAAGTCAGCAAAACTTGGATCACTGAAAAGAGCCTTGATGCATTCAATGATATCGCGATAGTAGACATCAAACGCTTCATTAGCAACGACAATCTGATCGCGTTTGAATTTCGGACGGCCTGGAAGTTCATCGTCGATGATCTTGTTCAGTTCCCGTGTATTCTTGAAGGAAAGACCAATCTTTTCGCTAAGCTGGAAGTGCTACAATTAGATTGATCCTAGTGTTCGAGTAAAGCACGGACTTACACCTTCAATAGAAACAAGTTCTGAGAACGCAGTTGAGCTTGAACCTCGTAATTTTGCCCATCGAGCCATCTCCCAATCAAGCTTCGAGGCGAATGGGGCATAAATATTATCTGCACTCGAGCCATTAAGCTGTGCATGGTAGGTTATATTGCTTGGCTGCTTGATGGCTGAGTCGATGGGCTGTCCAGCTCGTTGATCAGGGTAATGGACAATTATAGGTACTTGTTCGTGTTCAAGAAGTCGCCGCTGCGCCATATGAAAAGCATCTTGGCCTTGATCTGTGGTAGGTGGGTGTAAGGCATCATTGTGCGCAGGTGCTGGCACTACAGGAGGTTCCCATTCGTCATGATTGTTAGTGTCATGATGCTCCGCAGAATGACTTGAGGGTGCTGGTGCTGCAGGAGGCTCCCATTCGTCGTGATCGTTGATGTCATTATCTGAGTCATCTTCATCCATAGGTGCTTGACCAACATCCCCCTCGTCATCTGACCCTGGCCATGCAAACTCATCCTCAGCGTATGTTCCAAAAAAATCACCTTCAAAATGCAGCGGATGATTTGGATCAGGTGCGTCTATATCTACATCATTTGCTGGGTCTGGAGCGAATCGCCGTGAGGAAAGGTAGAGGGTACGACAGGCAGGATTGGTGGTTTTTGCGAGATGCTGACTATAACCAGTGATTGATGCAAGCTTTTTATCGCAGGAAGGACATGTTATTTCGGGCATGTTCTGCGTAGATTCAATAAAAAATGAACACTGAATGCCTGAAAATCACTTACAACTTGTCAGTCAACAGTAAGGACAAATAAAGTGTGCGAGTCTGACAGTCAGAGCAAAAAAGTGGTGTCAGCAGCATGTAAGAGGCTGTGAGGCTCTGCCGAAGTAAGAAATATTGGGTAAAGTGATGACGGTATTCCGCATGCTCGGAGATTGGTAAATTCAAGTCTTGCAGTGACGGAACCAGATATCAGACTCGTTAAGCACATCAGATAAATGACTTTTGCGAAGCACAGTAGCTGAACACGACAAACATAGAGGGTAGTAATGGAGAGGAGAATGCTTCTTGATAGTTCATAAACGGGGGAATGCCAAAAGTTCCCAGCCGATGGGGCCGTTACTAGGGAAGAACACTAGTTGAAGATGCTAAACATAGAGGGTGGTAATGGAGAGGAAAATGCTTCTTGATAGTCCGTAAACGGAGGAAATGGCTTTCGCCAAGTGCCGTAGTGGAACATAGAGGGTGGTAATGGAGAGGAAAATGCTTCTTGATAGTCCGTAAACGAAGGAAATGGCTTTCGCCAAGTGCCGTAGTGGAACATAGAGGGTGGTAATGGAGAGGAAATGCTTCTTGATAGTCCGTAAACGGAGGAAACGACTTGCATCCGATTAGCGTGCCACCAATAAGAAAGTTCCCGATTGACAGGACCGTTACTAAGAAGAGAATGGTGTGCGCACTAGGACTACTTTGTAAAGCTGTGTTTTAAGTTTCTGAACATAAACTCACCAAATAGCAAACTAAGCCAGACAAGGAAAGGGTCAACCCTGGCTCAGCGCTCAGTATAATAAGCGGACTGTTTCAAATTAAATGCCTGACCCCAACTTAAATAAAAACACTCACTCACCTTTTTGAAGCGGTCTTTCTCCAGCAGAAAGGCATTCTCACATTCGTTTTTCAGACTTTTTACTCCTTCCGACCTTAATTTCCCTTCAATGGACTTGCATCCACGGTGTAAGAAATTTTTCATGACAACAAAGTTAAAACTCACTTGGTTCAAGTACGACGCAAGGCAAAAGATCAGGCTCTAGACAATCCAGGTAAGCACATTGTCACCATACAAATTCATACTCACAATGATACTTTGTGGCAGTTTGGGGACCACTCCGCCAAAACAAACGGGCACGCAAGCACGAACGCTCACCCACTGATGATATTGCACCTATTCCAAAACGGGTCAAGTCAGTCAAAAGTAAGTCGCGATTAGTAGTAGCTCACCTGTAGTGATGACCTGCCATGATGGATGCAGGTGGTGGAACGAAAGCAAGGGCGCCAGAACCTCCCCTCAGAACTGGAAAAAGCAAAAGCTGCAGTAAGTATCAGTGCCCACACAAAAGCCAAACTTGCTCACAGAAAGATTAGAGCGGCCGCCACCTCTCGCATCAGACTCTGAGGACAACGTGGAGGTTAGCCAACCTCAGCGGTTAAAGAAGAGGGGTCAGCATTGCGTGTTGCCACGTGACACTCTTACTAATGGTTGAAAGTTATAGCTCGTGTCAGTGTTGAACCGTCAGATATTGATTCGGACACTGCTAGCAAGCAGAGTGTCTCTGATAGAGCTTCCAGCTCCGAAATTGAAATGTCGGACTCAGGATCAGAGCCAGTCGAGAGCATCGCAAAAGCTCTGTTTGAAGAGGTGAGTCACTTCGCACTGCATTCAATAAGCTTAAGTAATCTGCATGAACTTTCAAGGTTCCTGCAATTGTCAATACGCAGGCAGACCGCCAGAAAAAGCCTGCAAAGAGTAAGTCTGGCAGACCTCGGAAGACCAGATATACTCTGTCCCAGTCACCAACACCTCCACCACCTGTATGGGGCTCACAATACAGGCCTTGGAGTGCGAAAGAAAAGAAATATACTGCCGAAGTAAGAATATATTTTGTTCCTTTGTATTCTGAGTCTACTGAAACCAAAATTCGCTCAATAGATCCCCATGTGGGACTCTCCAATGACGAGGTCATCCTTTGGACCGCAGCCTCTCAAACACAGTAGCAAGAGCAATACGCCCTCCTCCGCAGTACAAGTCAAGGAAGATGAGGAAGACCTTTCCATCCTCGAAATCAAACCTGAGCCCGATGTGCCCCCACATGCTGACGCAATGGCTGATCTTGTCTACACGAAGACTGGGTCAGTGCGACTTACGGACCAGAACACGGAGCTTCGCAAGGTGATCCATCATGGTATCCTCGAGGTCAAGGCATACATTGCCTTCAAGCACGGGTACCCTGAAATTGTGGCCAAGAACTCATATGCGCGGGAAATCTTACTTCAGGCTGCGAAGCACCACAAGACAGCGCCAATTGAGAAACGGATGTATGTTGATGATGAGTATTTGTCGGCACTCGCCAATCTAGTAAGTAATCTGTCTTACTTTGATTTAATATTGACACCTGCTATAGATTGATGCTCGTGCGAGCCTCTTCCGCACTGAAATCAAGGACGTCGCCTATAAATATGCCCCAGGCTACTTTCGACTCGGCCGTGACTGCAATGCTATCGTTGACCGTCTCCTTGCGGGTCATTCCTACATTTTTCCGCAGACATTTGATGTTAGTTTTTTCGCACAAGAATTTGACATCCCACTGACACCTCGCATCAAGGCTGAGGGTCTTCCTTCTCCAAAACGACAGAAGCCATATCAAGGGCAGCCCATAGTCGACACTCTATACGAGACATTCTTCAAAAACACGAAGTCAGTTGGTTTGCAGTTTGCTCAGCACTTTCTTGACATTGCGGAGAACAAAACTGGTCGACCAGAAATCCCTATCCCCATGTTGGCCATGGTCAGCACAGCTGTAAGTTTGTGTTCGCACTCATCTGTTCATTGACTCACTTCTTTGTTGTTAGATCCATGCTGTTCTCGTTGCAAAGAAGAACAAGGCAGGTGAAGATTTCAAGTTCACTGGTAACCAATTCTGTGATATCTATACATACCACGTGGCGTTGTTGGAGAGAATCCGAAGGACGGCTCCTGTCAAGTTTCACAAAATGATGGCCGATATTTACGAGGAGGTCCAGTAAGTCCACATCCAATTTGGTATACACGTTGCTGACTTACTGTTGCTTACAGGCATTTACGTCGTGACACAATTGGAGTCTATGACAAAGATACCGATCTAGCATTCTTGGACCTTGAGGGAATGGATGACGAGTAGAATACCTCACTGACGCTGTGCCATATTTTGCAGGACATAGGATTTAATCTTCGATACCCCACTGCTCGCTATATCTCACCACTCGCTATGTTTTCTCGTGCTTGTTTTGCTCATATGAGTCGTACATTACTGCATCAGCCTGATACCCGATTTTAATGATATTAATTTTTTCATGTACTCGAAGTGTGAAAGTCTTCCTATTAGTGTTTCCTAGGGCGCGTAAAGGCTTTCCTAAGTGTCTACTAGGACACGTCAAATTGTTTTTAAATGACAGCAAGGTATGGCTAATTGTTCTAAATAGCAGCAAGGTATGGCTAAAAAATCAGCAATAAAGTCTGGCTAGGATGTCTAGCCCATCTAATATGTCTAATATGTATTAGTTGCACGAAAAAAGATCTAATCCGAACAGCTTTATCTAAGTTTACATGGGAGGGTTTTCCTGATGGCGAGGGAGAGGCACACTTCGATCTACCCGAGATTTCCACCATGCAAATCATCAAGCACCCCTTTGTCTCGAACCTAGCAAGCTATGTCAACGCCTTGCCTTCAAAGGACAGCCAGACTGAGGAGTATGACCGGAAAAAAGATACTCATCTTCTCCGTGGATCCTGGCAGTGTTGGAGCTTCTTCACTTCCAAGATGATTTCGGTCGTGACCAAATCGAACCATGACGACGCGATCCTCTTTGAATGCCATCCACAGGCAAGATAATGAAACGGCGCCACGGGAAGACGTACTAGGGGTGGAGACGAGGACACCGCGACGGAGGCGACTTGGAGTTCCAACCGTGTTTGGTGATGGACGGTACCTTTAAATTCCTGAAGCTGGTCATCCTTACTTCTTCCTCCCATCCCATTTTGATATCAATCATGAACGCCTCGTGAGTATGTGTTCTATTACTGATGATGGATGAGTTCATGCAAGCTCTGCGAGGAAAGGCTGTCCAAGATTATTCGACATTACATAATACAAAGTTCGTGATCATCATCATGCATCATGAATCATGATAACAATCGATTGGCTCCAGAACTTCAATGCATGTCATATTAAAATTGATACTACGTCACAGCGTTCCTTCACAACCTCTTGCGCACAACATGCTGAGCGAGCACATTAACACTTGGACCCGAAAGACAGCAGGGGAAGACAGACTCACTCAGGAACCACACTGGAAGTCATCCCCATCAGCAGTCAAGATACAGCAGTTTTTGCATGAACATGCTGTGTATGATATAATGGTGCCTTTAGGTCCGCAGAAAAACCCAAAATCGTCGTCGTTGTTCCAACCTTTGATGCCCGTTGAGCACCCTACTGTATCTGTGGATAACCGTAAGTACGCGGTCTAATGTCTGCACGTAGGCCGCAAGAGTGCTCACCAGGGGAGCCGCAGGGCAAGCCCTTGGGTGTTAACACCAGGTCTTCAGATGCAATAGCTACGCCAGCCATCGCTGCGGCAGAAATGATAATAGTAGTGAGTGAAGTGAATTTCATGGTGGAATATCGATGGTGCTTTCTGAACCGAGACGAATAGATTGGCTTTTATACACAATTAGTGTGTGGTGCAGCCAAACACTTTCATCGCCGTACATTCAGGAACAAAACAGATGCCAGCTCATGCTCCGTGGCATAATTTTTTTCTAGCTTTAAAGTGCAGTGATATGCAAATTGATGACGACCACTAGCACCCGATCGCATTCACAGACGCACTCCGCGAGTCCTTTTGGTACGGGTATGTGGTACGGCTCGGTGAATTTCAGTAAATGAGGTTGACTTTTCACAATTTTCACATTTGCAGTGATGTGGCAGACGCATCCACGGACCATATCCATCTGACACCCTATGATCAAGCGAATTGTGAGATCGTCGTCAAACGTTGCTACGAGTAGGACTTGGTAGGATATGCTTGTGACAAGGCTTGAGCGCCAACTACTTAGTATACTGCTCGTCGAGAAATAACTGGACGGAATCGACTGCAAACGAGTGGGGGTTACAGTCATGGATGATGTGTTACAGTGGATATTCCACACCGGAAACATACCTGGGAGTATTCTTCTGCTGCAGTTAGTTGTGCAATGGCAAGGACGGCAAGCTGTTAGCTGCAGATCGATGATGCTTCAGTGGCCGATGGAGATGTTGTCGTAAATGCGTCGTGACGCATGATCATGATTATACTGGAGACAAGTAGCATCGCACGCTCAGGCTCGCATTGTGGAAACTACGCGATGACGAACGTTGAACAACATTGTTACATACCCAGCAGTCCAATATATCATTTTATTTTTTCTGATTCGCTCGTTCCCCACGGCAATATACACTCGTTCACGAAAAAGTGAAATGAGCAAAATACAATGGAATTGTGTGGGGCTAGAGTAGGCTGGCTGGTGGTTGCGGTGGTATATCTCTATATTGCTGATATGTAGGGCTGAGTTGTAGCAACTTGGATAAAGCGGAAAATAATAGGCTCATCGTGTAAATATTGTGTGGGTTCTGTCACAGATGAGCTTTGCCTGTAGCGGACAAGTTGTGAGTAATGAGGAATATGAAATCAAATTAGAAGGCGGGGCATATTCAAATTTTCGAGGCTAATTCAAAGATCCCCAGACCCCAGTATCATGGCTTAATACTACCGCCAATCACAGTACCGTCATTGCTGATGCGTGGGTTGGCCGGGCAGTGCAGTAACTTGATCCAATCGCAGCCTTGCAAATGAATGAGTATGCGAGTGGCGTTGATAGACATATAACGTACCAACTGGTACCAGTCTAGTTAGCATTTGGACTTTGAGTGTTATCTTGACCAAATGAACCACGGCGTTGCGCGGGTTCGACTAATCAGGAAATCGTGACGTACACTGGATAGACACGTGTAAGCGGGCATCATATTGATGGGAGTTGATGGGGTTGATGGGACGTGCCAAGCGGTCGGGAGGCTTTTGAAGATCAAATTTGAATTGCTGTTGCAGCTAGGTTGAATGGGTTCACAGTGCAGAATTCAATTAGTACTGCGGTAGACTCATCTTGATGCTCTTACACAATGCATGGTTAGTATGAATGATTTTCATGCGTGCATTTTGGGATGTCTCGTTTCTTGGTTATGTTCCGAAGCGCCCGTATGTCAGCGATATTGACAAACTCGTTGCATATAGAGGAAATGGCATTCCTGGGCACGTTCTTTTGCAATCCTGGTCCCTGAATATGAGCAATGTATCGCCTGTGGCGTTATGAAGCGCTATGCCACAATTATCTGGAAGCAATGGGTGTTGATGAAGATACCAATGGAGATACAAAGCCTTGCCTTGAGTCCAAGAACTAGTCATCGGAGCATACCAACACACAATGAAAGTGGGAAACACGGGTCAAGTACATCATTTAGCACACGCACAGGATAGAAAAACCCCACAAGCCAGTATTCTGATACCTGTAATGCGTGGAAAAATCTGAGCAAAGAGCCCCCGTGTAATCATGACTCAAAACAGACTTTTGGGCGATGCGATAAGACTGCGGTCGTAAAGCGACCGCGACAGAGACAGAATATCAGTCTCAATGAGCTGTGATGAGACACTAAGCAGATGTGCATCGATGAACTGTGCCTGCCTACGTACAAGACTTGCAATTCATATGGCAGTAAGCGATGCAAATTGTGCAATGTTGAGATGAATGAATGTATACTATGCAAGATGGATGTGTCACGTACATCCTGTTGTCATTACCACCAGAGATTCATAGATTAATCATCATGTGTTTTAGCGACGCAAGAGCTAGGTGCACGTCTGTGATGGCAACAAAGTGAACAAAGTATACAGATCGTACCGGTATAAGAAAATGATATCATCACGCTACAATTGACGGTTGATTTAGGTGGAACAAAATTTATCTGTGGAAATATGCATACCTTCAGGTGGAAACTCGGTCGGAATCTGCTGCAAATTTCTGTACTTTCTCTAGTGTTACAAAGTAGAGGCTCCACGCATTTTGGTAGAAGTTGTGACCAACTGAGTGGTCGATACACAATCCTCTTACTTCATCGATACGACAGCTGTTGGGTAAGTGAGGAAGCCTGAAGAAAGTGGACATACTCAGGCTATTCCAAATTGTGCTTGACATCCCTACTAAACTGGCTTGTAATCAATGGGTTAGTTGAAGGAGACGAATGATTTTAACACTGGTAAGGACCCCAGTTCAATTGTAACCAACCTAGGACCATGGATCATTGCCAGTACTAGTACGACTTGGAGGGGCGTAGCTATTTTGACGCGCTACTGCCGCGGTCGTGACGCACATTGACGCGGTGTCACGCGTCAAACTTCGTCAAGCTTGTTCGCAGCTTTAGTCTTTGGTATTAAAAAGCACCACAGCTCCAGCTGGCTTACATCAATCACGACTACCGTGCGTTCCCTATTCTTCCTGTCGTCGTGTGGCTTGACGTGAATTACTTATGAGGGGCTTCCCTGGGATTCAATCACTATGAAGATTGACATATTGACGCGGCACAAGTATCTTACCATATTACTCCTTCATTAATTTACCACCATGTTTCGAACACTTCAGATATGTGAACTCAGGTTCTATGTCGATCCATGGATGTCTGGACTCTCTCACCTAATTCGACTGTGCAATACAACGCAATGACAACAACCGGACCCAAGCACTTATGCATCGTTTAAATCACCCTCTTTTTTTAGCCTGTTAGAAATCGATTGAGACAGACAATCCTGAGCGATAGGAATTATTTGGACTTACGACTTACTAACTATAAGTTAGGTGGTGCACAACAAAACAGGTTGAACAAATGGACAGACATACTGAGCCAAAAGTTAGAACAGACTCGGATTGCATGGCGAAAAGATGTAATAGGTTTTCTGATACAATATATGCATCAGAATAGCTATTTAACCAAGCGCAGAGCCATGCGATATGATTAGGATACTGGAATCGTCGACGCGGTCGTGACGCGGCATGGGTGAGGCTTGACACGGCACTAACAAAGCATGGATGGGATTTGACATGGGGCGGACACAAGCACGGACGAGGCTTGATGCACAAACAACTAACATATCCAGAGAATTGATGTCTACTGGACTCAAAGTGGAGTCGGACCACCATTAGAGTCAATGGAGACTCCACAAAAGTTTGCGACGTACTTACTACATGGTTCATCCTCGTTGTATGAGTCTACGTACGACAAGCACCTCGCTGAGGACAAGATTCTAATGTTTCGAGCGTGATATAGAATTTGTTGTACATGTTGTGGTGCCGGGTCGATGGGTGGCGCTGAGTCATATTTTTACCTTCAGCAACTTGCAATTGGGAGTCCTTGGTGCGTGGGAACCCTCTTACAGCTTACTAGTAGTAGTAGTACTTGGAGCAAGACTATACCACACTCGTTTTGGCATCCTTGGACAGCAAAACAGCCTTGGGATCTTGGACACTACGCTACCTCCCGCGGACCCGAAAGGCAACGAAGAAGGACAGGCGCACTCAGCCGGAGTTAAGCAACACTCGTTGCACGCAGATTTGAACTTATCAACCCCATCGTCAGTATACAGCCCTTGTGACTTTCAAGATATAATAATCCTGCCCTTAAGCCCACAGAAATACCGCTATAACCTCCTTGGACGTCAATTCGTGTACGTATTGGTACCTCTTGAAAGTTGTTAAGCGAAATAACTTGCCTTACAGCATTGTGAGTTCGAGTCGTACGACCGGCCATCTGCGAAGCACCTGCCAATGCCATACTATGCCATACCAGTAGTGAAGATGACATCTTTTCCTGTGTTTCTCCGCAGATTTAAGATGTGACTCTTATACATCACAATTCTTGCCTTTTTCGCTCTCTTTTCTCTCGCGGTCGCCACAATATTGTCCTGCGCTCACAGCACAATCCCGTCACTGGATGAGATTGGCGGTGGTATCAACGTCAACACATTCACATTCACTGTCCCTGGACCTACTGGCAAAACGTTCAAGCTGTTGAGCATCACACCATGGCTACCTACAATCAAAAGCTATGTACCTGTGGCGTCCCAGATCAGTTTTCAGGTACTTTAGTCAGTTTTCAGCGCGCACTGCGCATCGTGGTTTCGGCGAAATTAAGGTTTCTCACTTGTCGGCATTGGAAGGGCGTAGTCACTCACTCATTGGCGACTTCTCCATCATGTCAATATGGCAGGGCGTAGTCACTCACGCATTGGCAACTTCTCCATCATGTCAACATGGCAGGGCGTAATCACTCACGCATTGGCAACTTCTCCATCATGTCAACATGGCGGAATGTGTCTAGCGGAACATGGTGAGTTCCCATTCTCTGCTATCAGCGAACTCATAATTAATCAAACTGATATACCCACACTCAAAAGCCACATGCCTCAAGAAAGAGTGGAAATCCAAGCATGCTATTCGAGACGAATCTAGTATTCTGCAGAGCATGGAAGAGACTCTACGTCCTGTTCATCAACCTGTCCCTACTATGCAGAGCGCTATGACAATGCGCTTCAGCTTGTTGCTCTGAAAAGGATCCCTGCGATTGACACTAGTACTGGCGATAGCGCTGCAACAGCGGTCGCAGAAAAGAAGGAACTTGACAAAGCAGTAGTCGCATCGAACAGTTGTTGTCGGCGGGGGAGAGCAAGGAGTGCTGACGCCGTTATCAACTTGTCCACTCACCCGAATATATTACTCCAATGAGTCTAATCTTTTTCCGTGCCTCGCATCACTTACCATCGCTGTTATGCAAGCGAACGTGCGTGGGCACGCTGGCTGACCGCCCACTCCCCTCTTTTCCGCCAGGCAGACGGAAGTCGGAACTCCCATAAAGTAAATTTGTGCGAATCTCCAGTCCTTTCCACCACAAGGATTTATGTATGTCGTGATATTATAATTACCCAGTAGTAACAGCAGAGATTAAGTTAGAAAAGACGGGAAACAAGATAGAGTGGTAGATATAAATAATAATATAATCTGACCAGATGACAACACAGCACAATCACAACACGGACGATAAGGAATAATGCGTGTATAAGGGGGCGCGGGTACAAATAAAAATTAGATGACATTGAGTTCCTCAAGATGATGGCGCAAAATGCCATCACGGACTCCGGCCAATACGGCCTGCGTTGCTTTCGTATCCTGTGTAAACCGGTGTGAGCCTGGGACAAGGAAATACTGTCAAAAAGGTAACGCACAATGGCAGAGGTCTCATGACAAAAGAACGTCCGAGGTCTCGGGGACAATCGTTTCTATGAAGTCCCAATCAGGGTTTATTTCATATCAAAACCTAAGACGCGACCTACGTGATAAGCTCGGAACTTCTCCTTAAAGTATTTCGTCACGTTTTCCACGTCGTTAGGCGTGCTTCCATAGCTCGGCACATATGTTGCTACTTTGATCCCCGCTGCGAGAGTTTTTTGTAGAATGTCCATTTTGTTGAGGAATAGGATGATGTTTGCACGCGCGAGGAGGGGATTCGAGCAAACTTCTTTCCAGAGGTATATTGAGTCTTCAAGTCGATTAACCTGTCGGTCTTCTTCGAGAACTTGGTTGAATGACAGGGGTGCAAGGAAAATAATAGCTTGAACTACAAGCGATGTTAAAAACCACGCATTCAGATATGTCGTCAAAGCTTACCGTCATCAAAGTAGGGCACCCACTGGGGTCGCATACATCTACTACCACCAACATCGTAAATGTACCACTCTGAACCTGTTTACACGGGTCAGGGGGACTAAGAAAGGAAAGAGTAGGGTCACACACCATTATCTTGGAGGAAGCGATGTTCCTCTACACCAAATGTTCGTAATCTAGCACGGACGATATCCTCTGTGACAGCATATCAGGGCAAGGAACAGGAAAACTATCAGGGGTGTAACAAACCTTCCGTGGGCTCATAGTCCACCGTTGCAATTCTTGCCGTGTCAGTCAGAAAAAAACCAGGAGAGTCTTCCAGTCGAACTCCACGTCGCTTGAGTACTTCCCGAACGCTCTCGTCCTCCCACAATGAAATGATATCATTCTTGGACGCAGCAAGTACCAAAGTCGGATCATCCTTGCTTCGCCCATCATTCGTCATTGGTCGACGTTGACCGGTGGGAGGGACCCGTCGTTCCAATGTGACTCTCTCCAAAACGGTCTTCCATCCGCTACCAGCCCGCACGCAGATCTCGGGCGTTCTTGAGGGGTCGTAGTGTTCAGGGAGCAGTTGTCGCGTGAGATTTGTCTCCATCGACAACAGGGGAAGAAGTCGCATTCGTGTACGTCGGTGGTGATCTGAAAGTGATGATGATGTAGATCCGGTAGGGGACCGAGAACGTGGGCCTGACATTTCTAGCTCATCCTCGACAATTGAGAGAAGTTTTTTCACAGAACTAATGTTTCCTAGTATGAGATACAAGAAGTAGCTCAGGAAATGAGGCTACGTACCCAATGAGATTAAGTTGTATGATGGTCTTCCATATGAGTGCTTCGCCATGGAAGTAGGTCGGACAAAATGCGAGCTGGAAATCTGTAGTGACACGTCAGATTCAAACACTCAACTGAGACACAAATTTATACTCACTTCGTAACATTGTTGATTTCCCGGACTCGGCCTGTCCTAATGACAATGATGTCGATGTCAGCGCTGCTATCTGAAGAGAACTATCGAGATAGGCATACCTAATAGTAGGACCTTGATAGCCTTCTTCTTCTTGTCGAACAACTTCTTGGACTCCAGAATGCTTTCATCTATTTCCCGAGAAACTCGCTGAGCCTCTTGCTGGCGGGCAATGCGGTCTCGTCTCTCCTCGACGGACTCGTTGGGAGGTGGTTTGAATATGTTTGACCAGGCATCATCTTGTACAGGCTTCAGGTTAACTGGAGAGAACATATCAAGAGAGGACCGAGAATGCGATTTCGTTTGAGCCATGGAAGAAGAGAATGAAGAAAGAGCGAAGCAGTGCTGTTGAGTAGTACCGGGCGCTGGCAAGCGCTAGCCCATTAAATCCAAAGATAATTTGGGCCCTGCCAAGATCTAATCCAGATCTTTCCTTTTCGAGAGTCCGACATCTTCTCGGACCTGCACCAAATGGGGAAATAATAATACGCCAACTACCTAATTTATACCTCAATGAATAATCACAACACTACATCATGGTCAGCAAACTCGTACAACTCCGAGTCTTGATCATGCGGGCTATGCTAAAATTTTAACCGTCACAGTGCATGCCTTCAGCACTTCCTCCAAGGTCATACACTATTACGACACCGATCAAGTACTGTCAGAGGGATACAATGTTCTGAGACACCATTCTTACTCTGCGGCTGCCGAACGTGACAAACCTTGGTGTTGTTGTAAGGTGCCCTTGATACAACGTTGCCCGACAATGAACATATTGGCGCTATTGTTCTACCGGTGAGTCGCACCGGTGCTGTGTTGATTCAAGCCTATTACATTGAGCCGCACTAACGCTGTCAGGTTCAAATTATCTGTTACGTGGTAAATTGATAAAGTGCATTGGTTTCCTCGACACGTTCCATATATCAAGTATCACTCCGTACATGTGGCGAAGGAAGAATTAATTGGCAGCTCGTTATATGACAACGTGCGCTCTTCACGCTTCATTTGACGGTCCGAGCACAGACTTAGGTATCATCATCCCAATCTGCGGAAGAACGATTGGCCAGTCAAGTCAGCGTTCACAAGGCTGACATAACATCACATACCACATAGTTTGGCATGTCCACCTGACAATTGTAGTTAGTATCTCAACCCGAAGACCAGCACGCCCACATACCACTTCATGCATCCTCAAATCTCCCGCGACGCTACACAGTATATACGCTCCTACCCTATCCAACCCATATTCTGCAACCAGAAAATCAATCATGTTCCTCACAGCCGATCTCATCGCCTCCCTAACATCTGACCGGAAAAACATAAAGCCGCGCGTTAGTATAAATCATTTCATTTTAGTATGTTTTCATACCCGAGTCAATGCCGGTGGTGCAATAATATTCCCCGGACGGGGTATCAGCAGTAGCCGTGCTAAAATGTGGTGTCTTGGTGTACGGCTTGTCTTTCCTTACTGAGAGCCGCACCGTGACTTTCATGGATGTCTCAATTGCCGATCCTATCGCCATGCAGATCGAGGTCAAATTTCTGATCGGGTGTATGTTCAAGGCCGATCTGACATACCGCATACTTCTGTTGACGTAATCCCGGATCAGTTTTGTGCAGGCCGCCGCCGGCTTCGGCACGCACCTCCGTCCCCCTGTGCAGCATGACCATCCTAAATATGACATGATAACATTTTTGTAAGCAAATCATCTTGTCAATATTTACAAAGGAGTACTCTCACCCCG